AGAACTATGTTTTGAATAATGTTTGAGACTGAACTTTTAATACCAGCAACACTGGCTTTTAAATACCCAATGGGACCACTCCAGTGTAACTCAGAAAGACAGGAATAGTATGGAATCTGGTCAAGGTGTTAAGAGACTACAACCCAGTGGGGCAGGGGGATAGCTATCAATTAAACGGGAACTGTTTTACATTTCAATGAGTTGGACTCCTTAACTAAGCCTTTCTATTATTGTTATATATTGGCTGTACCCAATATGGGGTGCCCTGGGTGAACCAAACACTGGTGTAGGCGAAGGGCTGGGAATGCTAAAGGAATGGGAAGAGGCACCAAGAACTTTTCCTACGGTACTGTTTGCTGAGGCTTAGTGACACCTGCAGGAGCCTTGTATCCTCTTCCCCTTGTGTTATTCAATCTTAAAAACAGATACAGTGCTAACGATGCCATTCCAGTAACTGGGTAGTTTCAGGTGAGACATCTCAGGGAGCACATTGAGGGTGCCGGGATGGTGATGCTTGGAGAAGATAGAAAAATAGTGAGTAGTAGAGATATTCTGTCCTGGGGAACTGTCTGATGACCTAGGAAGGGGCATTTGGCTTTGGGGAAGCTTCCTGGACAGTCCGGAACCACAGAATGACCTCAGATGTGAGATCGAGAGGGGAGTGGTGACTTTTCCCAAGACAGATGTGCAGGACAGACTGGGATAGATAGGTCTTCATCTCCACATTCTCATTCCGGCATTCAGGTTCTTTCTGGGTGTCCTGCCCATGTAATCAGAAAAAGCCAGCTAAAAGCGCTTTTATTCTTTGTAACATGTTATAAACAGTTAACAGCATAAACGGAGCTGACTTCAGATAGGATAGAATGATTAAGAGGCTGTCTCTTTGAAGTCGGATCTGAATTTTCAACGCTGACATTGTTACTTTCTTGCTGTGTGGTGCTGGGTAAGCAAGCTATCAAACGTCTCTGATCTTAGCCTCCTCATTTATAACATGGGGTTAATACCTCTTGGCAGGCTCATGTGATAATTAAATAAGAAAACATATGTAAAGCAACTAATACAATTCTTGGCACAGATAAGGTGCTGAATAAATGGTGCTATGGATGATGATGATGATGATGATGATGATTAGTGTTCCTGGAAAGAAGTTGGGGCAACTCCATGCCATCCCACTTCTCTGCAGTACTTAAAGCATGCCCTAAAGAATTAGTTCATGGGGAAGAGGACATGGGGTGAGAGCAGGAGTCGAGCGATTGGATGCCCATCCCACTGTGGGAGGGGCTCAGCACTGGGGAACAGGGCTGGGATACAGCTGACACCATACTCCCCGCACCCTGCAAGAAACTAATATACCTACATGAAACCTTCGTACCAGTGGAGGCCAGCAGCATTAGGAAGGACCAGAGGGAAACAGCCTAGATTCCCTCCCCATTGCCAACAAATAGCCTGACTGGAGGCACCATCTCCCTTCCTCCCTGCTTTTTCTCAGCAGTGGGATGTCCATGAGAGTCTACGGCAATTGTTCTCAGCCTTCGTTTCATATTAGAATCACCTAAAAAGCTTTACAAAATCCTTGTGTCTGGGACTCCCTTCAGAACAACTAAATCAGAATCTCTGGGGGTGGGCCCACATATTGGTAGCTTCAGTTCCAGTGTGCAGTCAAGGTTGAGAACTACTGGGACTCTAGGCAAAACTGAAGGGAGGGAAAGAATTTGAAGAGAGAAAGAAAAAGGAGAAGGTATGTGAAAAATAGAATTCACTTCCAAGAGTCACAGATTGGTTTAATGAGCACTAAAAGTGGAAGAACTATGTTTTGAATAATGTTTGAGACTGAACTTTTAATACCAGCAACACTGGCTTTTAAATACCCAATGGGACCACTCCAGTGTAACTCAGAAAGACAGGAATAGTATGGAATCTGGTCAAGGTGTTAAGAGACTACAACCCAGTGGGGCAGGGGGATAGCTATCAATTAAACGGGAACTGTTTTACATTTCAATGAGTTGGACTCCTTAACTAAGCCTTTCTATTATTGTTATATATTGGCTGTACCCAATATGGGGTGCCCTGGGTGGATTAAACGGGAACTGTTTTACATTTCAATGAGTTGGACTCTTTAACTAAGCCTTTCTATTATTGTTATATATTGGCTGTACCCAATATGGGGTGCCCTGGGTGAACCAAACACTGGTGTAGGCGAAGGGCTGGGAATGCTAAAGGAATGGGAAGAGGCACCAAGAACTTTTCCTACGGTACTGTTTGCTGAGGCTTAGTGACACCTGCAGGAGCCTTGTATCCTCTTCCCCTTGTGTTATTCAATCTTAAAAACAGATACAGTGCTAACGATGCCATTCCAGTAACTGGGTAGTTTCAGGTGAGACATCTCAGGGAGCACATTGAGGGTGCCGGGATGGTGATGCTTGGAGAAGATAGAAAAATAGTGAGTAGTAGAGATATTCTGTCCTGGGGAACTGTCTGATGACCTAGGAAGGGGCATTTGGCTTTGGGGAAGCTTCCTGGACAGTCCGGAACCACAGAATGACCTCAGATGTGAGATCGAGAGGGGAGTGGTGACTTTTCCCAAGACAGATGTGCAGGACAGACTGGGATAGATAGGTCTTCATCTCCACGTTCTCATTCCGGCATTCAGGTTCTTTCTGGGTGTCCTGCCCATGTAATCAGAAAAAGCCAGCTAAAAGCGCTTTTATTCTTTGAAGATTTTTTACTCATAATAGAATGCATGCTCTTTGTAAAGAATGTGGAAAATACAAAAAGAGTAAAGAAAATTCACCTCTAATTCCATCGCCATGAGAAAAATCAGCTATTTATAACAAATAATTTCTTCATAGACTTTTTGCTATTTGAATATATGTAATATATATGTTTTGCACCATCAGAATTGTCCTGTACATTTAGGTGATTTTTTTCCTCCACTGTGGTTGATTATTTATTTACTTATAACCTCTATATTTTTTATATATTAATAGAAACCATATAAGCTTTATAGATGTTGTGCTTGGTTTTATATAGGATTTAAATTTTTGAGTAATTTTAATTATACAATTTTTAATCATAGACATAACCCCTGCAAAAAGTAAAAAAAAAAAAATTACATTGCAGAATATTATTAGATAAAAATTTTCTCTCTCCCCCATCCCTCATCCCCCAAACCTTTTTCTAAGATACAGACTTTTAACAATTTCTTGTTTTGTATGGTTTAAATATTGTATTTTTCCCTCAAGGTTATACTGTGAGGACATTCCCAGATTATTTTTCTTCAGAAAGACTATTTTCAAGATTATGTGCTATTGCATGTTGTAAATATGTTAATGTATTTAATATTCCCATATTTTTGGCCATGTATGTTGTCACCAGCTATTTATTCTTATAAGTAATGCTATAGGGGACATCCTTGTAAATCTTTAATTATTTTTTTGGAAAGCACTGAGTAAGTTAATTTTACAACATTCAGAATTTTATAACATTCAATTATTTAGTAATAGAAGTCACTTTTTAAAAAAGAAGATTTGGTTTTCTATTAGTCCATTTCTGTTGCTTAAAACACCTGAAACTGGTCATTCATTATTATTTTCATTTATAGAAACATAATTGATTATACATATTTGTGGGGTACAGAGTTGACTATCAGTATTTGTGTACAATATGTTATGATCAAATCAGGACAGTTGACATATTCGTCATTACAAAACATACTCATTCTTTGTGTCCGTGAACCAGTTTCTCCCTAACCCCTTACACTCCCCCTTTCCTCCCTCTAATAATTACAGCTCTGTTCTCTCCTTCTGAATGTTGAAAGTATTATTGTGTTTGTTGTTTATTTCTTTGTTTCTTTCTTTTTTAGCTCCCACATATGAGTGAGGACATGCGGTATTTCTCTTTCTGTGCCTGGCTTATTTCAGTTAACATAATTTTCTCCAAGTTCATCCATGCTGCTCCGAATGGCAGAATTTCATTCTTTTTATGGCTGAGTAGAATTTCAGTGTGTATATATACCGCATTTTCTTTATCCAGTCATCTGTTGATGGACATTTAGGTTAATTCCAATTCTTGGCTATTGTAAATAAAGCTGCAATAAACATGGGGGTGCAGGTTTCCCTTAGACATGATGATTTCCATTCCTTTGCATATATACCCAGTAGTGGGATTGCTGGATCATATGGTAGTTCTAATGGTTTGAGAAACCTTCATACTGTTTTCCATAAAGACTGTACTAATTCACAGTCCCATCAACAGTGTAGAAGGGTTTCCCTTTCTCCACATCCTTGCCAGCATTTGTCATTCTCTGTCTTTTTGATAATAGCCAGGTTAACTGGGGTGAGATGATGTCTCAATGTGGTTTTGATTTGCATTTCCCCTATGATTAGTGATGTTGAACATTTTTT